GCTAATCTTTAGTACTTTCTGAGGCTAGCCCAAGCTTCTTCCCAGGTAGATGACTTTGCTCAAGGATAAAAGTGAAGCTCCTGCAATTTGGCAAACAACAGGCTATTACTACCTGTATTCATGTGTGAATGACACAATCACATTCCTTTATATTGAAAGAAGATGAAGCCAAGTTAGAAGAGCAACCTCCAACGAAGCCCTTCCAAAATATTTTCCAAGACCCATGTGACTTTCCACCCCCACCCCCGATGGAAAGTAGAAATCGGCCACTTTCCTATTTAAAGGACAGCCTGGGAAGGAAGTCGCCAACTCTAAAGTGCTATCCACAGCTTTGCATCTTTACTGTTGAATAGTTTCTTTCTTTGGTGGGTACTTTATATACTTGCTTGACCTTGCTTGAAGGACAGTCTGCGTGCACAAACGTGGGGGCATTTTGTTTTCTATACACTGATACATGAGTGCCGATCTACTGGGGAGAGGTGGTTCTGACATGGGACAGGACACATGTCCTGCAGCACCCATTGTTTCGCTGAGTCACAGCTCTGAAAGCTATACTGCCATGTGTGCTTGGAGCCCTGGTTAGACTACAGACTCCCTTGGGGTCCTTACTTCTTCTGTTGCTCTGTTACGGTGCCCTAATACCATCTAGAGTTTGTGTACTCCTGTGGCACACAGTTTTATAACTTGACTATAATATAAAATCTAACATTTATTAAACATTGGCTGTGTTAGGTTTGCCCTAAGCCCTACACTCTAACAACCTTTCTTGTTCTTTGCAGTACCTGAGGATTGAACCCATGGCTTCAGGCACACTAGGCAAGTACTCTACCCTATGAACTACACTCTTAATTTTACGTAACACTGGCAAATGTAATACTTTAACTATAAAGTAAAAAAGGTTCAATATAGAACACAATTTTTCAGTGTCATTCAGTAGCAGGATGCTCAACACATGGCCACAGGCTAGCATTTTAGTTGCTCTATACATCAAGCAGCAAGCAACTAAATGTGCAGGAGTAAGTTCTCATCTTCTACAGGAATCGAACTCCTGTTCTCTTCTAACAGGAATTGAACTCCTGTTGTGAGGCGAGGCATCAAGTGCCTTTACTTGTTGAGCCATCTTGCAGACCCCTGATTTAGCTATTATAGAGATAAGTACCTGGAGAAAATTAAATAGTATGATTTGTCTCAGTTCTGTGACTCTCATCATAACAACGTTGATAATGGTCACAATGTATTGGGGAGGAAGCTCTCATTCCAGAGGAACTCTGGTTTTAGAAAGGATCTTCATTGGGATAGCTGATCTTCCCTTTCGTTTGTGAGGCAGTATAGGTCCCACCACAGTCAGACCACCTACCCTCCTCACAAACATGTAGAACACTACAGGGGAGGTCACACTATGGCTTCTAGGAACGAATGTCATGTAGATGAGGCAGAAAACCAAACCCCACTAACTCTAACCTGCTCATACTCTAGCCAGCCAGACTGAAGAGTGGGTTAGTATTTTATTAGCCCTGGAATGACATGGCAAGACGTGCTGGCAATCAAGTCATATGCAACATCAAATGATTTTCATTTTCTTTCCTGTTTTGATGACTTCATGTGAGTCTCATTTTAGGCATATAAATTTTCCCTGAAAATGGCCATTTAGGAAGTATCTTTCCCCTCCAGCCAACCAAGGTGCTAGATCTAACTCAATCTTCTTCCATCCAATAAAATTAACTAAAAGACCAAAGGTCCTTCTGTGTTTGTTGCTTAAGTGAGTGCTGAGTTCAGATTCTAGTGGTCAAACAGATTCAAAGAAAACCTCACAGGTGCTATATAGGTGTACAGACAGGAAGCAGCCAGAATAACTGGGCCACACCAGACAGCCGCTATGTAATAAAACATAGCACATTGCTTTGGAACAGATGGAGGGTCGTGATATTTTAAGATGATCGATTTTCTAAGGAGACACTGGACTCTTCTAAGCAATTTTTATTCTTTGAAGATGGGAAGCCTCTCTTACAGTCATAGTGCAAACGAAAACAGGACACTGTGGGATGCTTGGTCTAGCAGGCAGTAGCCAAAAACAACAACATAGGTACAGTAAAAGCTTCTCTCTAAAATATTAATGCTGAAGCTTCCTCACAAAGTATGAATGAAGCCTGCACATTTATTGGCATTAGAGCTGGGAAAATGGTAGGGTCTGACTGCTGACAAAACATGAAGTATGGAAGGCTACCAAGCAGCCCTAAAGGTCAAGAATTCACTAAAAACTCAAAGAACTGACTTAAGCCGAGGTCAGCTCTGGGAAATGGTAAGAAAAAATTAGCCAAAGGAGAGACACAGAGGGAGTCTGGAGAGATCCACCTCCCCGCAATACTGAGAACTAGGGGAGCACAGTCATGCTTTAGCGCACAGGCTGAAAGAGGTCTCACTGACTCAGTCTTTGGTGTCCTATCACCCTAATACCACCTGAGCTGAGGAGCCTCCCATAAATGACAATTTCTACCAGGAGAGAGCTCCCAAGGGTTTAGAGGTTAGCTCTCAAGGAACCTGACATGAATTCTGACCTGTCTGGGCCAAGGGCAAAGCCTTATGCATCACTATGTCAGAATGGTAAAAGAATGATGCTGTTGGGTGTCTGTCCACAACTGAGTTTATCCTCCAGGTTCACATTCTTTGTAGAAGTCATCAAAATACTCATGTGTTCTATGGGCTCTCCCATTCTCATTTTCCAGTAGTCAAGCTTAGAGTGCAAGGCAGGATGGCTCAGTGGAGCACTTCAAGAGCAATTTTTCTCAATTCACAGCAGACATTTCCTTCTGGAAGAATCAACATATCAGTTCTCTAACCCACTAAACTCACAATCTTAGTTCTTTTGTCCCTTCTATTCAAAGAATGATGGATTCCACAATGCCATCCTTACATCCTAACTTGTATGCTAAAACCCTAATGCCTACTATATCACAATGTGACTGCAATTAGAAGGATACTTAAGGGATGATTGTAGTGGCACATCTTTAATCCTAGAACACATCTGGGAAGCAGAGGCAGAAATAAGGATGGGCTCTAGTCTAGTTCATTACCATCTTTTAAAAGACTAGAAGATGTGCACAAAGCAAGGGTCCCAAGTGGCCATCTGCAGGCCATATAAAGACGCCTCAGAAGAATCTAACCCTGACTATTGGTTGGGACTTCATCTTCCAGTACTTTGTAGACCTGGAAATTAATCCATTAGTCAATTATTAATTCACATTTAATCTTAACTACCATTTTGCATCAATCTTCTTTTATCTGCTAAGAATTTCCACCTGGTACTTTTGAATCTTGTTTCTTATATATCAAACCAAGTCTCACACCCACCATTAGATGTCTACTACAAAGTACTGAAGTCAGGGCACTCTTAGGCTCAAACCCCTCCCATGGACTTTTTACTAAATGAAGACTCAAGTTCAGCCTGGCAGCTGGTGACCTATGACCTCTGCAGCTCTATCTTGTGATAATCTCTGAGTCAAGCCATTGATCTTCACTAAAGTTGTCACCCACCAACCAAATAGGAACATTTTCCTTCTGGACATCTTCCTAGTCAGTATCTTTCTCAAGTCATAGACAAACGTCATGTTCTTTATGAAGACTCCATAGATCATTCTAGTCTGCGTTAGTTTCTAATTTAAATTTGTTATTTTTATAGAGATTATCTTATAAAGAAGTATCTAGGATCCCAAGTCAAAGGTTATCAAATGTACACAGAGAAAATGTTTTAGAAATGCTACTCTATCAGGACCAAAGATAAACAACCATAATATTGAAAAAAATGCAAAGTCCAGCAGTACTTAAAATCTTTTATTTTTATGTGCATTGGTGTTTTGCCTGTGTGATGCCTGTGTAAGGGGGTCAGGTCCCCTGGAACTGGAGTTACAAGCAGCTGTGAGCTGCCAGGTAGGTGCTGGGAATTGAATCCGGTCCTCTGGAAAAGCATCAGTGCTCCCAACTGCTGAGCCATGTCTCCAGCCCCTTCCCATACTACTGCCTTTTAATATTATACCAAGTTTGATACCAGTCTGGATACAGAAATGAGATATTGACTGAGTGGTTCAATTGTGACTCACTGTTGGAGTTCTCTTCTATTCCCTCCCCACCCTCTTTCAGCTAAAAAAAATGGAAAGTTTCCATCTATTTAAACACACGTTAAACCACCTTTAAAAAAAATCTTCTTTTAATCAACATTTATGTAACACAAATATCCATTACCACACAAACCGCACTGAAGCAGAAACTAATAATTCTACCTTAAGGTTTAATCATTTTATTAAATGCTTATAAACATGTACAAGAAAGGAGGTCAGAGTGCAATGTAATCTTGTAACTAAATCTGTCACAACACCTTTTTTTTCTTCACTAATTTGTACACGTGCTACTAACGGGGTTATATAATAGAATCCTTTATACACTCAGTAGAACATCTTCTTAGCTAATGTGAGAACTGGCAGTAAAGAGAACAGATAAGGCTGTGGGTCACGGACACTTTGATCCATCAATTACAGAATATTCATTTAGATATCATAAGAACTAATAGATGTTGTAATTTAACATCATCTTTATAATCAAGGGCAAGGTAAAGTCTATGATTTAAATATGTTCAAGGTACTTGTGAAGAGACAAAAATAGTCTAAAAGCAAGAAAGGAGGATATCCAAATTTGGACCTGCTCATCATTTTACTATATAAAAGTGAATGTTTTCCATGTTTCCATTAATTAAGGTAACAATTTACGAGAACCGTCATAATTTAGACCATTCCAAATGAAAATTCTCTTACTATTTCTTTCATTTTTCCACTTAGTTCATAAAATGGATTGAATCATCAACAAGCTTTCATCAAATGCTCCAGAAAAGCAGATAACACGGCTGCATCTCAACCACTCAAAAACAGTTTCAAGTGTACCCCAGTCCCAGTACCAGCGGTCTGTGCAGAAAGCAATGCGGAGGACAAATAGGGACAGGGTGATGAACTTACTTGAACTTAGCTTCCACCTCTTCAGCAGCTTTCTGATACTCCTCAGTGGTGACTTTGTAGAACTCCGAGCTCTGTGGACAAAGTTGACAACATTTTCACTATGCAAGAAGACAAACTGTTCTGATGACTTGCAATTTCAAAACATAGAAGCAACTTTGTTACAACCACTCCAGAAGTAGATTTCAGGCTTAAGTCGCAAACACAGTACTTAAATAGTTGGAAGACCACTAATTTAAATAACAATATTGACAATGATATATAATTACAAGGTTCAGACATTCCTGACATTTTTGAAGGATGTGTTAGCTCTACCTCCCTTGGTTATCTAGTACTGCAAAATCCAGACACTTAAGCTCATAGGGAGAAATCATGCACATTCATAATGATGCAGAGCAGGATTTGCTTTGCATATTTTGTTTCACTATGGATCTTAGCCAAGCATGGTGATACATGCGTTTAATCTCATCACTCAGGAGGCAGAGAGGCAGGTTAGTTCTGGGTAAGTTCCAGACCCTGTTTGGAGGCAAAGACAAAATCTTTGATAGAACAAAAAGATAGCTTGTTCTATCACTTTCATATGACTAACACACCTTCAACATTTGTAACCATCAGTATGAACAAAAAGGTAGACTTAAAAACAATTTTAATATAAAAAAGGCTACACTGTTACATGAACTCATGAACACCATAAGCCAAGCCACTGGGGCAAACCAATGCTTTTCCCAGGACAGCAGGACTGAAAATTACTCATTGTGACTAGCTGCTAGCTGATCTGAAAGCAGTCTCAGTAGAGGGGTCAGTCTAAATGACCCATGAGCTCTCAGACTCAATGAAATAGCATGAAAAACACTGGGCAATGCGGAAGGAAGCAACATAACACAGGGCTCTATTGTGTGCCTTCACTCTCTAATCACTCGGGTTTCACAGCCACAGCTTGGGTAGTTTATTTTTTAATAAATCATTGTTGGTTGGTAAGAAAATGAAAATGAAAGCCTCCTCACACTGGTGACCCCTTTGCATTTAACAATCCGTGTTGCCCAATGACAGTCACATCCAGGTTTCTAAGATGCAGATAAAATCAATAGGTATGTGATTAGACAACAGACTGGGGTGGCTGGAGCCATGGGCAGGTCACCATTTGAGATGATGAATGACTCTCTATCAACCTCCAGTTCCCTACGATGCTAACATTTACTATAATCTTATTTGGGCTACGATTTATCTTCCTTGCACCTGATCAATAAAGATGAACAGAACCAGTTGTAAGGATCGATTGTAATTTTTTATCATTTTCAAGCACAAAAGTGCATTTCTGACATGAAGATGGTATCCTAAGTGCACTGCCTCTGCAGCTTAAAAAGTGCAATCTGAGTGATCAGCCACACTCTATATGTGGAGAGGTGTTAATTCATCAGTGGGTCTAAAGCTATCAAAAAGCCATTTGTCTTCTCGGATACTGTAGATTTAGGTTGCCCACACCTCACCATATGCTCCACATACTACATTTCCCTGTGCTCTTCTGCACTGCTTGACTTAAGCTTTTCCTGGGATTTTTTCTTTTGTTTTTTAAACAAAAAAAGAGTAACAAAAGCACCTATCAGTTTATCACTAACAATGTCAGAAATTTCCAGAACACTGTTCCAGCTATCAAGAGGGCAATATGTATGTCACTGATGCTGGCGACACAATAACATGTTGACTAATACGTTCCTTTATGGTAAAAGCTCATACTTTAACAGCTGGATAGGATTGGGCTGAAAGTTTTGGTTTGAGGTCTAGCCTGTGACCCTGAGTCAGTCTTTCAACCTTTCCCAGTTTCCTCTCCAGTATTTGTAACCTGTAAGATATGGATGATAACTGGCATCGTTTAATTATATAATGAAGCTGTTGAAGGAGTCAAATAAGATAGGCGAGAACTGTAAAGAGGGATTTTCTTTGGTAGAGTAACAAAAACATCTGAATAAAATAATGGTGGTGGTTGTAATTGGTGGGACCTCCAATTGCAACACACACACACACACACACACACACACACACACACACACACACACACACACACAGAGCCCTCCCTAACATATAATTTCACTTTGGGCACAAATCCTAGATAATCAAGAACATAAAAGTCTTCTAGTAAGAAAAATGCACAAAACTGAGAATTTTGCTGCAGTACAAATCAGTGAGCTGCCCTCCCCTCTGTGATGCCAAAGGCAGGGAAAGTGGTTCCAGTTACAACTTCTACAGTGATAAATAGAGAGCAGCTGTGCCTATGGCGTCTCCAAGCTCACTAGAGAATTCTCCAAAGCTAAAGGCTTTAGTTTGGCTCTATACTTCCACCTCAGCAGCGAGAGTCTTTCTAATGATAAAAACTCCCAAGAAGGCAACACTGCGTAAGTACTTAAGTATACTCCAGATATGTAGACAGTATTTAATTAATAAAAATACTTAACTTATTTAATTAACACTAGATCCTTATTATCCCAATAAATGTTCACTCAGGGAAATTGGACCCTCAAGAAAATTTCAATCTAAAATCAAAGAAAAACAATTCTAATGGAAGGCAACAGCCCAAGTGTGACTGCTATTACCAGAGTTCAGAAGATCTAACACTGGCCTCAGAAAAGACATTTAAAATTATATACCATTCATTCAAACCCAAACCCTGAATCCTCCGAGTATTTTCAATGGGAGAAAGGATGAATACTGGGAGTTTGGGTGGAAATGTATAAAACAGAGAAAAAGAATTAAGCATGCACACATGTATGGAGAAAAGTTGAAGCTATGTGGTAGGATGTAATTTGTGTGGTTTGGAAAAATACAGAATAAATTGCTGATCATCTTCAACTGGCAGTTAAGTGCTGGTGACAAGAAGGGGACAGAGGAGCAGGACACAAAGAAAAGGAGCCCAAGGTACGAGGCTCACAGCCCTGTCCTGTCTTAAATGAGACCTGAATATGCACTAGGCTTGTTTGTATTTCACATACATGAAAAACCGCATTGCTTCTTCCTGCCCATAAAGGGGCTAACTAACAATAAATGGTATAATTTACTGGAACATAAAAGTATGTTTGAGGAGGGGGTACAAGCTGAGTAGAATTTTAATATATTCTTACAAATGGAGCCACTATACACACCTACTAAACAAATATGCTTTTTCTATTTTTTTTTAAACTGCTAAATTAGAGTCAGATGAAGGGCAGAAAATAGTAGGTCCTCACATCAACCTCAGCTTCACCTCAGAGCACAAGTGGAACCTTAAAAGCCACACCACCTGTAACTAGTGGTTGCAGTGGCATGTATTAACTGAGACGGGGGGGGAGGGAGAGAAGGGGACAGAGACAGAGAGACAGAGAGAAAGAGAGAGGATGGATAGATGGATGGATGGATGGATGGATGGATGGATGGATGGATGGATGGATGGATGGATGGATGGACAGGAACCAGTATGCTCAGACTGCATTGATTGCACTGTGAGAATCTCCCTCCTGCTCCCAGAAGCTATCTGCCAAGCTGAAAAGAGCTGCCCATTGCTGAGACTGTCTGCAGTTGACTAGTTGAACCCCAGAATGTTCCAAGAGTTCTGGCTTCTCACACTGCCTAGCAACCAACTAACTGCTCTTGCCCCAAGTCAAGAGGAAGCAGAAGTGCTGTAGTTCTGAGAACATCAGCTTTTGGTGTTTGTGCCTCAAGACAGTTGATACCATCTTATTAATTACAGGTTGTCCATATTCTAATGTCTTTGTTGTCCTTTAATGTAAAAGTCCTTCTGTAGCAGAACAAAGCTACATGGACTGTCTTTACCCAGTCATTTCACAGTGTCAAAATCTGATTTAAACAATTATCCACATTCCTTGTTTCTAAGGGAGGCATGTGTATATTCTCTCAAAATTTGTTGATATACCAAGTATTTTGTAGGAGGAGTCCCAGTAAGAGCTTCCTTCCGGTAAAACTGTAAGATACAGAAAAGAATAGCATGGCCAATGGCAAGGATCACATGCAAATGCATGAAGCATACTTTATTTATTGATCAAAGCACAGTATATGCATTCAAAAAAAAGTCACAATGAAGCTCATTACTTCTTACAACATATGCCAGCAAAAATAAAAGCAAAGATTAAACAGTTTTTACAGAAAGAACCAAAAATAAGGGATGCTCATGATCTCCCAAGTTAGTCTTTCAATAGAAAACTGTTCTATGAAAGGAAGCCCACAACTATGAGCACCATGACGATCTAAAATTAAAACACACCTCTACACAAATTTGTTCCATGTAGCCTTCTGCCCCATCAGCCTCAAGAAAAATTCTTGACAAGATCTGCCTGCTTGTGGCATGAATCTGTGGCAGGCAAATATGTGAATCAAGTATTAGAGAACTGATTTGTTTATTTCTTCCTTCTAGACAGAAACTTTTATTGATATAAGCATAAAATGTTTCTCACCAAGAATTTTTGTGAGAAAGGAGACTCCATAAATTTGGTGTAGAAGGACATTATCTTTAAGATGTTTCAGCACCATCAAAACCCAGGCATCAAGCAAAATGTGTTCCTTCAGGGGTAACAGCTCCAGAACAACAATGTAAGTCTTTATATTTGGGAAATGCTTCTGTCACATGTCCCAGAGGACAAGCCATCACTGGAAACACTAGGCATTTTTACTTTCTATATTAAAACATTTTCCCAATGCACCGGGGACCAATTACTGAAAACACAAGTAGCACACTGAGTGGGGGAAAAGGCTCCATTGTACATAATTTTAAAAACGTGATCCATTTCAAATATGAATGTTTTCCACAGAATAATTTTTAGCAGTGCAGAAAAGTGGTTTGGAGGGAGCTTTAGGTCAGACACCAAACCACAGCTCCTTCAAGAACAGAACAAATCATTTAACTTCAACAGGTGCATCCTATCTATAAAAGAGGGAAATGACAATTACCCAGTAAGATGCTTTGGAGAAGATGTAAGACAGTCTATGGGAAATGCTCTATAAGATACCCAAGACAAAATCAGTCTCAACTAGAATACTGTAAAGGACAAAAATCTTTTCTAGTAAAGAGACACCACCCAGTCAAAGCACTTACACTCCTTTGCCAGAACATAAGGTGAATGGGAAGTATGTTGAGGCCTGGGCAGTGCTGGGAATGTGGATGGCTATGTTACAAGCCCAGGCAAAAATAAAGCTTATTGGGGCCACCCATGCCTGTAATGACAGCTCTCAGGAGACTGTAGACAGGAGGACCTTCAGTTCAAAGCCTGTGCAGGCTGCAAGATGAGACCTTGCCTCAAAACACCTCCTCTCTCTCTCCTCTCCACCTCTCTCTCTCTCCTCTCCCCCCCTCCTCTTCTCTGCCTTCCCCTCTCCTATCTGCCCCAATAACCTCAGCTCATCACCAACAAGATGCAATTAACTCATTAATCAGCAAAAATACTTTAATATGAGAACTCCTGATGTTTACTGTACATTATAAATCACTAAGAAATGTTGTTCATCATTGTTCCAACAGTTGAATCACAGACCCTTTTATTTTGAAGCCACTTCATTAGCAAAAATCCCTTGGAATGGTCTATGAGAAATGCTAGGTTAAAGAAAAATTCACCAATGAAGGCAGTAGTTTAAATGAGTTCACTAGACCCTATATAAATGATAAAAGGTGTTTATTCGAGAAGGAGTTACACAGATAAGAGTAAAAAACCACCATTGCCTTCTTACTCCACAAGATGCTCTTCCTACGCTCTCCACAACCCAAGAGAGCACGAGCCAGTTCCTCCTCTACCTTAATGGGCCTTGTCTCCACCTGAAACCATGCCCAAAGGGTGTGGTCACTACTACTAGTTCACTGGCAAGCAAGATGGCACTACAATTCACCTCTTTGTCTAAAGAAGAAAGTTTTAAGCCCGATCCAAAAGCTATACGCAATGACAATAAATATCAAGTATATTTGAGGAGAAAGAAAAGTAAAAACATACACAACCAGCAAGGGCAACATTGGTCAATACACATTCTACATGTCCAGTCCCAGGGTAATGGCTTATAACAAAGATTACTCCAATAGCTGTCCTAATCTGGAAAGTCTAAGTCTTGTATCTAGAACACAGTTTAATCTTCAACCTCATCAAAGACCTGAGAAGGAAAATAAGATTCCTAGGGAAGGCAGGAAGTGCAAGCATGTGACTTCCTAAAGGTGCAAGAAAAGACAGAAACAGCAGGTAATCTGGACAGTCACCCAAGGTCTCACAGTAACACTGGGGCACCAACTTTGGCTAAAGCCTAGAGTATCTGACAGACCATCTCAGAAGCAGGGAAATTTGAAAGACTGTCTTACCCTGATTTGGCAAGGTTCAGCAGTCTCTAAGTTTATCTCCAGCTAGTCCAGTTAGGACAGCGTATCCAAATCATCGGTCAAGGTGGGGGCAGTTTTTTTTTTTTTTTAGCCTAAAAGGCCAGTAGCCAAGAAGAGAACAAACTCCAAATGGAGTGTCATCAGTGTCCAACGTACTCTCAGGAATTTCTCGGTGCTGTCAGGAGCAACTGTGTCTCATGTCAACAGAGTTTTAAATTACTAAACATTTAAATGTCATATTCTGTAGGTCTTTGAAGTGTCTGAAGATCAAATATCTATGTTGGGTACATCTCTGAACACACACAAAATCTAACATCATTAGGTATAAGAAGCATGGGTAACTATAATCTGTAATTCTCAGAAACATAATTGCTCAGTGACTGAAGCTTCCCAAATATAATTTAAACCTATGTGTAGCATAAGGACAATTACCTCAAATTTGTATATATATATACACATACATACACGTGTGTGTATGTATGTATGTATGTATGTATGTATGTATGTATGTATGTAAATCACTAAAACAGAGATAGAATTGAAATGTCATGACCAGAGGTAGAACTGTATAGTGCAACATGATAAAAACATCCTAAATATACAAAATATCTTAAGTATATGTAGAAACATACATACACAGAATATGATAAAGATAGTTTTATACTTGTGCAGAATATTGTAACCAAAAAGAGCCTACACAGTATGACAAATAAAATATACAAATTATCCAAAACAGGAATACAAAGTTAATTTTACATAAATTTGAACATACAAGACTCTATAACAATGTAAGTTGTGTAGAGCTAACAGTTGCTATAATAGTTCATAAGAAGATATGTTAATCTACCTATATCCCATCCCATCCAAACCTTTTAAACTTTTCTAAAAGAGATTCCCAAGTCTGACCATTCTCTTCCATTCCCAACCCTACACAACTTAAAACCAACCCTAAGCAGGTGATAATAATCCATTTTCTAGGAAAAAAACAAAACAAAAACTAAAGCGAAGAAGACTAGCTACAACATTTGTACCTATATGAGTGGCAGGTGATTCTATGTCTGAAGTTCTTATCTGAAGATCTGATCAGAGTGTTACAAGAAGGTGCACCATCTCAGCTAGCTAATTTGGAATTGTCTAGAGCAGTTCTAGTCCCAAACCAATCCTTGAGTGGTGTATACTAGTTCAAAGACATCAAATCGAATCAATGTTACGGGGCCCCATTCTTTTATAAATCTCTAAGAAATGTTGTTCACCTCTGTTCCACAGTTGGCTCATGGACCCTTTTATTTTGAAACCTCTTCATATGCAAATATCCCATGGAATGCTAGGTTAAAGAAAAATTCACCAAAACTTTAAAAATGCAGCTCCTCTTTTCTTAAAGCAATGTTGCTCATGAGCTTAGAACTAACATCCAGATGTCAAGAGAAGTTGGCAATGCTGAAAAATGATTCCAAAACTGATGCCTCAGAGCACCACATTTTATCAAGTATAATAAAAAGCAGGGCATTACATTGAAGTTTGAGTATTTATATTTTAGGTGTATGTGTTTTGCCTCCATATAGATTGGTGTAGCACATTCATATCTGTTCTCTATAGAGGCTAGAAGCAGGAGATGGAAAACCTGGGACAGAAGTTCTAACAGTCATGAAGGATGTGGGAATCAAACTTAGATCCTGTGGAAGAGCAGCTCTTAACTACTGAGCTAGCTCTCCAACCCTTAATTGAATTTTAAATATATTTATTCTGTTTTGTTTCTTCAAGACAGGGTTTCCCCAAGACAGCCCTAGATGTCATGAAACTCACTCTGTACACGAAGCTGTCCTTGAATTCTGAGATCTAACTGCCTCTGCCTCCCAAGTGCTGGGACTAAAGGTTTGTGCCACCACCAACCAGCTAGCTTTGTTTTGCTGTTTCTTTGATTTCCATTTAAAAGTATTCATTTTTACATTTGTGTATGTGAGTGTATGTCTGTGTGTAGGCATGTACAAGTGCTGGCAGAGATCAGCGAATGTTGGATAACCTGGAACTAGAATTATAGGCATTTGAGAGGTTCCTGACATGGATGCTAGGATGCCAGGACATTAGAGGTTCTTAACTGCTATCTGTCTAACACCTACAAACTTGTGTGTGTGTGTGTGTGTGTGTGTGTGTGTGTGTGTGTGTGTGCCTGTTTATGTGCAAGTGCCCAGGGCATCAAATCCCCCAAAACTGCAGTGTTTGTGATACCTAACATGGGGGCTGGAATCAGGTCTGAACTTTGGTTCTCTTGATTGAGGAACAAGTGCTCTTCACCTCTGAGCCATTTACTTAGCTGAGATCAGATCCTGGTAAGTTTACCTAACCTATTCCTTCAGACCTCTCTGATAAATTGCCAAATGGCCACCATTCTTTCCAATTTTCTGATCCTGAGCCCCTTGGATTCCAGTAGGAATAGGTGGAATCTATGTCATCACAGCTTCTAAGTGGGCTTAGCTAGTGACTCATGTGGCCATGCCAGGAAGCTAGTTCAAACCAGAGCCTTGGAACCCTGCCGTGATGGAATAAATACTATCCAGTAGAGGACATCCTAGCCCTGCTGACACTGGAGCTGCCAGCTGACACCAGCCCAAGGGGAGGAGAGCTGGAGATTCAACGGTGAATAAATGGTTGTTTCAGGCCAGAGTTTGGGGTAGTTGATTATACAGAAA